GTTTTTTTTTTTTTTTTTTTTTTTTTTTTTTGGTACCGGGGATTGAACTTGGGTCCTTGTGCTTCCGAGTTATCATTTTATTACTTGATAGTGTTCTTTGATATACAAAAAGTTTTAATTTCACAAACTCCGATTATCTACTTTTTCTTTTGTTGTTTATGTTTTCGGTGTTATGTTTCAGAAACCACTGACCACAAATCTACAATTCCATTTTGTTCTGAGATTTCAATAGTGTTAGCTCTCCTACTTAGGCCTTTGATTTATTTTGAGTTAACTTTTATATGTGATATAAGGAAAAACATAAAATTTGTTCTTTTCCATGTGGAGGTCCAGTTTCCCCAGCCTTATTTGTTCAGAACATGGCTCCTTCTCTGTTTAGCTGTCTTGTAAGAGATGAGTCAACTACAGACAAATGGGTTTATTTCCAGATTGCAGTTCTACGCCCTGGGCCTACACATCTGTCTCTCTGTTGGAACCACTGCTCTTCTGTGTGGCACCAGAGAGTGAACCCAGGGTCTTTGCACTGAGAACTACATCCCCAGCCCCTTTTTACATTTTTAATTTCTCGCCAAGTTGCCCAGACTCCCCAGGGCTGGGCTCCAGGTACCCGAGTTTGGTACCACACTCCTTCTGTGCAGACCTCTCTCCTGCTGCTGTGTTATCTGTCACAATTTCCATGTCAGATGGAAAACACTGGATTGGAACTGAGGAGCTTCTTCTAGCTAGAAGCACAAGAGCTGCCTTTTTCAAATAACTTTCCCCTTGACAATTAGATCCCAGAAGTACAGGAAAAGAAGGAAAATAGCTTCAGATATCAGCTCCCTGCTCCACTTGAGAATGGCCGTCTCCTAGGTCAAAGGTCATGGGTCAAAGGGTACAAAGTTGAAGACCTTTGATACACAGTGCCAAGCTGAACTTCAGAAAGGCGGTGACTTCTGTTGGGACACCGGCAGCTCACAGAATCAGAGAGAAACCACAGCTTGGTGGTGGGATGCAGTTCAGGGTGGGAGGTCCCAGCCCGTCCACAGAGGCAGCACGGGGGCTGCCAGGCAGCACCCTTGAGTCCTTCACAGGCTCAACGCCTGCGTACTTCTGGGGGCCCACAGCCTGTCACACACTCCGTGGTGCAGTCATGTAACGCCACATCACATCAGTCTTTCTTCCTCCTTTCCTTCCTTCCTTTCTTC